ACCAATGGGTTGGGGAGTGGGACATAAGCCCCAGGTCCAGCCTAAAGAGGGCACCGGGACAGAGCTAGAAATGCCTCATGCTCCCATCTCCCCCTGTCCCCAACAGTGATCTTGAACATGCCCTAACGTTTCATGCAGGCTTCTCCTGTGCTGGAAGCAGTGTAGCCAGGTTTGCATAGGGCTGGTGGCAGTCTAACTAGCACCGTCACCCAACAGTGCTAATTTCTTGCCCACAGCACCGCATGAGTGCACCCACCTTTCTCCAAACCACCTTCCTCCAAAAGATGACTATGTTGCAACTACAGAACCTCAAGACAATGAACCAAATGGGACTCATTTAATTTACCTGCTTATCAACGGCTCTCTTCTTCAGTCCTTGTGCAAAACTTCTATGGACTCCAGCAGAAGTTGTTACTAACTGTGCTCAGAGGACTGAATAAGACCAAGTCTATGCATTTTCAGACTGGAGCTGGAATGCTCTCTATCCAAGTGTAGAGACCTCTGGTGCCTACAATAAAACTTTCTCAAATGTCTTAGGCAGACAAGGTTCCTTGGGTGAATTTGATATCTTTTATTAGACCAACCCAAATGGTTGGAGAATAGTTATTAAGCAAGCTTTCGGGTTCAAAAAACATTTGGTTCAAAAATCAAATGTCTTATAAACTGCATGTTTCTCTTGGGCAGTGTTTGCTTTCTTTCCTTATTAACCTGTGCTCCCTTGTCAGCTACAGCCCTCTTTTCTGCAGCCACCACCTCTTAATTTGCCACGTTACTTGAGTTTTGTACAGAAAGACTTATCAGCTAATTCTATACTGCAGTGTGAGTGCTCGTTCAATAGTGCTGTTGATGCTGCTGAAGAGTTTGATAAGAACTGAGCCATTTTGGTGCATGTGTGAATGCGAGTGAGAGAGAGAGTGGGTGGGGAATAGGGTAGCCCATAGTGCTATTACTCGAGAAGTATACCTTCCTTTGAATCCAACAGCCAAAAGAAATGATCAGGTTCACTATCCATGGTTTAAATCAGGCGTACAAGGAGGTTTATAAACTTCCTATGCATATTCCTAAATACTGTGAAGGAAAAATAAAAGGCATCATGCCACAAAGACACAAGAAAATAGCATTGGTCTGATGGTGTTAAGCCTGTAACACAAAGAAATGCAGTCGCGTCAAGATGACATATCTATTCTGACATTCACCACACTAGGTGTTATACAAAAATGATCTCCAAAGAGGGCATGAACTAACATGCTGAAGTCTACAACTTCAAGGCACAATGACAGAAAAGAGCCATTTTCGCTGTGTTGGAAGGCAGTTAATATTGTAGGCTGAACTGAGCTGATGTTCAGAAGTGGCTCTGAAGTTGAGGGTAGACCTACTGAAAGGCACTTGGAATTTAATAATATTGTAGGTGTCTCCGTGCCGGGAATGATTGTCTGTTTGTTTGCATCTCATCCAAGTTATTAGTAATCAAATCCCTAATTTTGTAACCACACATGCCTCTTGAAGCCTGATCCCATAGACTGAATATAATAGGTTAAATATAATAACGAGCATGTCAAAGCAGCCAAGCCACCCTGACATCTAAGAGTGTGCTCAGCTGGCTAGATGTACGTTAAACTTAACCAAGCCAATGGGGAAAGAGATTTAAAACACAGGTGGGCAATTTTTAGAACAGGGATGGAATTTTAGCTGCATACCCACTCAGTAGGTAAGATGCAGCTAAATTTCAGGCATTGCTCTGGAAATGTTCCTTTGAAGGTACTGATTTCCAATAACACAGTCCAGAAAAATCTGACTTTCTATAAATACCACCGGAGGTGGTTCAAGTGCCTACATTGAACACCTTCAAGAGCAAACTGGATGCTTATCTTGCTGGGATCCTATGACCCCAGCTGACTTCCTGCCCTTTGGGCAGGGGGCTGGACTCGATGATCTTCCGAGGTCCCTTCCACCCCTAATGTCTATGAGATCTATGAATACTTTGGCTTTACATGGCACCTTTCATTTGAGGAGCTTCAAGCACTTTATAGATACAGTAATAAAGTCTCACAACCTTGCTGTGAGACAGGTATGTATGCGATATTCCCCTCATTTAAAAGATGAACGTTTTGAGCTGTAATAAAATCCAGGGCCAGATCCTGTGAAGAGCTCAGCACCTCTCTGCTGAAAATCTTGCAAAACTGGCAAGTACTTTGAAGTCCTGACATTTTTCAAGACGTCTTTCCTTTTTTTCCAACTGGTTGCAGCAGAAATGTTTATTCCCCGACGGTCTTCAGTTGCCACCAAAAGACCTCGGGGAGAAGTCACGTGGCACTTTTAGATGCGCTGTCACTTGAGCGAGTATCAGGACTGACTCCAGGATGCCAAGTAACGCTGAAATGCCACTTGAGCAGTGTTTAATATTCTCTGCAGGAAACGTGATGACAATCTTAAGAACATCCTAGATAAGGATTTTGTAGAAATCTTTGCCTGTTCCTAGAATGTGTTGATATGAGAGATGCTGCTTTTGGAGATTCCCGACAGGTACTAATCCTCTTATTTTTGTTATTTAGATCACATTCATGTGCCTTGTTTTGAAGGGGTTTTATTTTATTTTATTTTTTTTTTGCCCTGTTATTTTTGTGCAGACTTTGGCAGTATTTCAGTACAAATACACTTAAAGAAAAAAAAAAGAGCTGAATGCTCAGCAGCTGTTCAGAACAAATACCTACTCCTGCTCATTATATCACACAATAGTGGGGCTATAGAAAGAAACCCTATGAGGTGATTTTCTAAGTGCTTAGGAATATAGGACCACAAACAGACCGTGGTCCCTTTTTATGTCGGCACTGACTTTTGTGCAGGAGCAGGGCAAAATAGACCCTTATCCAAATATAGACTATTCAGGCCAGAGCACTTGGAGCCGAGCTAGAGCACTCTAATGGACTGGGACTGAGAAGCACGAGCAAGAAAAGGTTTCTTGTTGATAACAAGGATAACCTGCTTTTCTTACAGTTACCCGGCTCATGTTTAAATACATCGACTTGAAATTTAACCCCTCTGTTCTAAGTGAAACAACGGCCCTTTTAGTTCTCATTACAGATAGCTGAAAAAACAGTTTCTGAATTAATCTTGAGCATTTCAATTCATCTCTTCACTCGCATCTTTTCCCAGTTCCTGTTGTATAAACTGCCTTATGAATTTCTTATAGTGCCGAGACTTGCATGCATTAATTTTCTTGTAATACCTGGTTTTCCCCATTAACAATTAGGCATGTTTATAGCTATACTGCTGTCATGTTTTTTAACAAACATGGCAGTTATCTTATTAAATATAAATTGCTGCTAAGTAGCTTTTGGGACTAGTTTGAATCATACTAGGTCTATAGTTTATTTGAATACGTGGCCATAGTGATATCATACTCCTGTAGATTTTGTGCCTTTTTCTTCATGGCTCATGTTTTCTGATTTGCGTGTATTAGTGTAACCTCTGGCTATTTAGAATGAATTGAAACTTAGGGTAGAAATGTGTATCTGACTTCATAAAAGACCAATTCATGTTACATTACTAGTCCAGGTTCTTTACATGATGGTTACAGACAGTCGTTTGGCATTCAGCTTTTGGTACCAGTGCAGTTGTTCTGAAGCCGGATGGCTATCAGAAATCCCAGCAAACCATTGCAGCTATTAGTCTTCAGGATTTATTTTCTAAAAAATGAGCATGGTGCATATGTAACAGCAGGAAAAAAGTTGTGGAAAATATTGTTTATTTAGTTTGACACCTTATATGTTAGCATATGGAGTTTTTATTTTGTTTCTAGTGTACTGGATAGAGGTGCATTACCCTACACTCACCTTAGTAACTTAATTAATTCTGACTATTCTTTTGTACAACTCAAATATTATCAGTCTTGTAATAGTAATCTATTATTAGCCTCTGATTCTGTAATTGAGACTCAGATGTTAATTACAATCAAATGCATATAAACCGTTGTACAGTGATATTAAAAGTTGATACACACATGCTTCTTCTTTATTACATTTGAGTTCTGCCAAATCTCTGACCAGTATTTTCTAAGTTGTGATTGCATAGCACCAAGCTAGAGAGAATTTGGCATAGCCAACGGCTACAGTCACCATTCAAGGTTTTTTGATTAGTTGATGTAATGTGTTGATATATTCGTTCTCCGAATACCAAAAGCAACATTAAAACCCTTTGCGAAAGAATGCACATAACGATTCCACAAAGGCGTTGAGGCTTGATGTTTGTAAGCATTTGAGAGCCTTGTATGAAAATGCTGTGATTGGGAGCCAAAACTGGGGTGGGAGAAAAGTGAAAATTGTGCACGTTTTTGAATATGCCAGTTTGGTGTAAGGCAGTAGGGGCCAACCTTTTTGTCAGAGGAAGGGGTAAAGTTAGCCATTCTCCATCAGGAAGGATCTCCTTCAAATAATGGTCAATTTGGTCACTTCATGTACAACACAAAAGAGCACCTGCTCCTCTACAGGCAAATGCTCCATCAAATAGATGCTTCCATCCAGTTCAGGATCACGTGGCTCTGACTGACATTTTATTCACTTTGATGCGGTGCGGTATGTTGACGGATGTCAACTATATAATACCCCAAAACAGATGTTGGTCAGCCAGTACTGTAACTGGATTTTTCTTTAGTGCCCATCACTGCGGGGTCTTTTGCAGCAGTTATATTCATGCCCGTGCCAAGTCATGTTTAATGGTTCCCTGATGAAACCTCCAGAGCTGTGTATTTTGCTCTGGCTGTGTTTCTATGTGGTCATGTCTTTCTCTAGTCATTGGCCCCAAGAACGGTCACAGCTTCCTCCCTGCATAGTCAGTAAAATAACTCTTCAAGCTCAAGTGATAGAGGCTTGCAATCTCAGTATAAAATGCTACCTTGAGTATGATCTCACAGACAGCTGTAACATCTGGCGCATCTATGTGGTCATGGCTGGTTATGAAAGGGCATCCCAGGTGCGATCTAATCTCCCGCGGTTCTTTTCTAGGCAGACCTTCCTCTGGTTCTCTTCTGTGTACTACGCAGGCGTCGGGGCATGTGCGTGTGTTTTATCTTCATGGTGGCTGACCCTATCAAGCATAACAGCCTTCTGTGCTGAGTGGTTGCCGTGTCCTGTTATAACGGTGCGTGGTGTATTCAAGCAAAACAGAATAAAACAATCGGGACCAGCTTGTGATATGATAATGAGGATCATCCAGGTATTTCTCGTTCTCTGATTCCCATAACCTTGTATTTTGTGTTCCTAGGTTTTCATTCCCCTTTCAGTGTTTCAAGGACTTAAGCACACACATGCACCTCCTTCTTTATACTTGACTGTAACATCATGCAGGATCAAGGCGACAGTGTTAACTGAAAGTACTGACTGGCGTATTAGGGGCATGTTAACGCTGCATCATGATCTTCCTTTATGAAATTGTTGGGTTTTTTTCATGCGCTCGTTAGAACGTGACTATTTACAGGCACCTTTCAGACTCAAGATACTGTTACCTTCTGACTGAATAGATGCCACCTAGTTTCAGCAACAGCAGGAGAAGTGGTTTCACTTTTTATTTGTACTTTCTCCATAGGGGCAGGGGGAGTGAAAACCTACACCCCGCTCCAGATTGCTATCCATCTAAGCACTTTGTGAGTGCAATGTTTAGAGGGAGCTTTAAGTGTACCGAGGAACTGTTGCGTTTCCCTCCTCCCTTTCCCCAGACCCCTTAAGTGACTGATAAATATTTACAAAGATTTTAATCTTGACCAAAATCTGGGAGAATGCGAGTTCTTTTTATTTGCTGTACAGGCAGTGGAGGCAGAGAGGACTTCACATCCCACAGGGTGCAAACCTTTTAACAAAGGGGGCTTCTCTGCCCCTTGTAGACAGGCTTTGGGTTTGTGTTCAGGGCAAGGATGGACCAGGCTAGAGCAGCAAGAGAAAAACAACACGCGTGCTGCTGCGAGAGTTTTGGGGAGAGCTGGGTTAGCATTGGGCCACTCAGGGCTCTGATGCCATTCCAGGTGTGCCTTTCTGTGTGTGAGAATGAGCATGCAACGGCTGCTGGGGATGCTGGCTGATTGTGGGTTTCCCTTCCTAATGTCAATGAAGCAATACCTCACATTGATCAGGTGGATGTGTCCAGCAAGGTGATTACAGCTGGCACTTGAGGGAATCTGGCAATATGAGAACAAATACGTCAGAAATAAAATGAAATGTTTTGTGCAAATTACAAAAAACCGCCAGCATCCCATTACTGTAGGAAGCAAACGAGGAACGAGGCTGCATTTGGGACTTTACTTCCCTAGGAATTCCCCAGCTCGACTTCTGTCTCACCAGCTCACTGCTTGAGTTGAGGTTTTTTTGTTTTTTTTTTAAATAAATGAAAAGAGAATGAGAAGAGACTTTTCTGCCCTGAATGCAAAACAGAGGAATTCAAACTGAGGTGCTTTCATAAAACGGTGAAAAACATCAAGCTGTCAGCTACAAAAAAGACATAATTGAGTAGCCTGCTATTTGCACTGGGATTATTTGAGACATTTTTAGCCTAAGCGGTGAGCTTGGTACTGATTTATCTCCTCAGCATCTCCATCTAAACATAAAGCTCTCCCCACTGCAACCACATAGCAGCTGGGGTTATAGTGCTCTTTTCAGCACTGACACAAATGGCAGGTTGAAGGATGAAGAAAGACTGAGGCCCCAGACAGATACAACTCTTACCTGGGTTGTCCTTGAACAGTCCCACTGAGTTCAACAGGGCTACCTGGGTGAATAGGGATTTTAGGATAGGCCCACATGTGACTCGTATCAAATAAGAACAGCTCTACATAATGCCAATGACCTTGGGGAAGCAGAAGTTTTTAGTACCTTTTCCTCCATCTCTCTCCAAAACATTCATCACAGCCTTGTCAAAACACTACTCCTAGCTCAGCTACCCACTGGTTCTGTGAAGCTTACCCAGCAGAAGCATGTAGCTATTATGGATCCATACATTAAGTTTTGAGATGTGCCCCAAGGTAAGAGCTAAGGCCAAAGCCATGCCATGCATATGGTTTTGATCCAGATCCAGTCTTTATACCATGGAACCAATGTAACACAGAGTACTCTGCATCTGCAAGACATAGGGACATCTTTTGGAGCAGGGATATGTAAGCACAAACTCTGGTGTTTTAGGGAATCAGTCTATTGATGTGTGATTAGATGAATCCAAGCATAACATTAGAGGTGCCCACACTTCATAGCAACTCACTTGACTATTTGATTGTCTTAAACCAAGGCTTCCCTTTTGTCACCAGCAATAACAGTGTAGACTTGCAAAGGGTAAGTACATATAATCGCAATATACATTTATGAACATGTTTCCCATTTTATTTGTATGGGGAGCCAATGGCTGGCAGCTGCTATGATCTCTCAGCCATGGGGGCACCCCCTGCACTGCCACAGCAGGGAGATTGCAGCAGGTGGTCTCTCAGCCACGGGGGCGTGTGGTGCATTTCATAGCAAAATAAAAAAAGATCCATTGCCCCCCTCCATGCACGCACGCATGCACGCACGTGAGACATATATATTTGGGATCAGAACTGGCACTTGTATTTCACGCTCATGTGACAGTAGGAATTCTGCATGTGGTATGATTGAGTCTAGTACGTTTACCCTAAAGTTAAGACGACAGGTATGGCTTTTGTACAAGAAGTGTCCAGTGCTGTAATCCCTTAGGCTAATCAAAAAGCCCGAGCCTGAATTGATTCAATCTTTGCAGCTTAATCTAACCTGTGTGGACTGAACTGATTTGCAAGTGAACAGACATTCACTTTTGATTCCAGATATGCAGGCACATGCCTGCAGTGGCTCAGGCTAGAAGTCAGGGGTGCTTGAGCAAGCCCTCCCTGCCCTTTCGCAGCAACCTCAAGGCTGGAGGGAAGCTGACTTGGGGTGTGTGGCCAGGCCCCCAGTAGGCTGCTACATATATTTGGTTTAAACAGGAAACCCCAGCCTGGCATGCAGGGACCCCAGCCAGGGTGTGTCTGGAGGAGGAAGCAGCCTTTACCAGATTTGTCCCTGGAGGGGCGGGGGTGCCTGGCCAGACATGGCCTGGGCAGCACCTCAGGTAAACAGGGGCAGGGAAGGGGATTAAACTCCCCTGTCTCCCTTCTTGGGCATGGGGACTCCAGCTGGTGGCACCCACTTGCATAGCAGGAGGCCTGGCCAGAGCCGGTCTGCATGACCCCACTATCTGCCCGGCTTACCAGGGGCTGAGGCTGGGTATGCAGAGCTGGGGCTGGGACTGTGGCTGCAGCTGTGAGGCTGAGCACTGCTGAGGGTGGGCATGGAGCGGCTGGCCTGTGGGGGCTGGGCTTTTCTCAGTTAGCTGCGGTGTGGGTGGGGGCTGCAGGAACCATGCAACCAAATTGATCCTGGCTACCTGCGCCCAAGCCAAGCCAGGCTGTCACAGAGTCCCAGCCAGCTGGGGGGGGCCCAGTGGGGTCGGCCTGGGCCATGGGAATAAGGCCCTTCTCAGCCAGTTGCAGCTCCATGACAGCTTGGCCTGGTGCACATGGGTGGGGAGGAAGGCGGAACAAAGCCCCTGCGTACCCCTTCCCTTAGGGGGCTGTCCTGATGGTGTCTGGCCATGCCCCTGCCCCTGCTCTGGCTAGAGAGTGGAGGGGTTGGGCCAGCCCTACTGTCTGGAGCAGAAAGTCCAGCCCAGCCCAGCCCAGGGCTGCAAAGCCTGCTGGGATGCCGGGGACTGACTTAACTTAAACCAGGAAGGGGTCTGGGACAAGTTCCATAAACTGGTTTGACCCATATCAGTTAAGTCTGATACTACATTCAACCAGGTTTATCTTAAACCAGTTTTAACCATTTTGAAACTGGTTTATATGCACTGAACTTCTGTTTTGTTACAGGTTTAAACCAGTTTCTGATCACTTAAACCAGTTTATGTGCAACTTCTGTCCCTAGCCATAAAGGTAAAGGATTTATATTTGAGATTAAATGTGGAGAAGTCAAGGGAGCCTTTACTTACATTTCCTGTTGCTTTGAAATGAAACAGAGATTTTGAAAGCCACTCCAGTGCTCCTCTTGCTCTAGTACAGGCAGCCTCTGCGGTGGATGCGTAATTGCTGAAATATTCTGATTTGAAAGGGAAGGAAGCGTGCTGTCATAAGTGGAGTTTGTCAGCTTGTAGTGTCCTGGTCCTAATACCTGCAGCGGACGTGTAAGCGTGCGTTCTTGGGCGCATAGCCCGCTCCTCCCCATTTTAAATTTTACAGCTGGATCCTAAAAGGTGCACAGCACCCTGAAGTCCAGCCACTAACTACCGCGTCTAGTCAGGACCTTGCAAACTGTGGTTTATATTTCCAGGCAGCAATACGCTGGGCTTTCAAAAATGCTTTAAAAATATTGCTCTGGCTACAGAACTTTAAAAAAAATGTTTCACCCTGAAGCCATATTTATTGAACCCTTTCAGGACCATACATATCAGGCACCTACTAATTTGTGCTTTTGAGTATTACTCTGTATACTCAGTGGTATCTCAAGCATAACTTCAGTATATCATACAGTTGGATAGACTTATTGTACTAATAAAAAATACATTGAAGTTATGGCATGCTTCAGATACTTTTGCCACCAGAGACATTTCATTGAGAATGTGAAAATAAATACCCAGTGCTCATACCTTATTTATAGACTATGTTGCTCCAGGTTCTTAATACTTAATAATTAATTTTCACTAATGTAAACACCATTGGAATTTATCTGGTAGGACATGACATCTCCATTGCTTCTCATACAGTAAAAGCATTTCTGCTACTTGTAAATAGTTTTTCCCTCCCTCGCCGCCTCCTTACCACCCCAAAATTTAGTGCTCAAACCTGCTTGCTTAGTTGAGTAAGGAGTGTAGGCTTGAAGAATGACCCCAAGTGCTGCAGACTAAAACGTTGTTTTCCTGGACAGACACTAATCATAGAATTTGACCCCTGCGTCCTCTCCTCTGCCCCTTATCAGCGAAATCCCCAAACCAGATGGATTGAGGAATATTGTAAAAATTAGTGATTTACAGTAAGGTAGTGCCAGGAACATCACAGCTGGGAAAGTAAGTAA